TCAATTTGAGGAATGCTCACAATACCAAAAATCTGGTGGGGCACCTGTGTGTGTATGTGCATCCACGTTGCCTATCAACTTAAGGGTAGCCCAGTAATGTCATAGGATTTTCTTAGGCAGGGAATGGTCAAATTGGTTTTGCTAATGTCTTCCTCTGAAATATAGCGAACAGCACCTCATTTTCATTGGTGAACTCCCATCCAAATACTACCCAGTACCAATATTGCTTAGCTTTGGAAATCAAACAGGACCTGGTGCCTTGTATGTATACAAATATACATACGAGATATCCCATTCTGAGACCTTTTTTCTCCAAGGGGGAGGTTTGGGGGCAAATCTATGTCCAGGCTCATTCTTCTCTAGACTGTGAGAAAGGGATTATGTTGGAAACCTCCAGTTATGTTCCAAATCCTATTGTACAGTCTGTTAGACCCATTGCATCATTGAGATTTACCTGTATGTTGACTGGTGGATGATCCTGTGTCACAGTGGATTAAACCGCTGAGCTGCTGAACTTGCTGACCAAAAGGTTATCAATTCGAATCTGGAGAGTGGGGTGAGCTTCCACTGTTAGCCCCGGTTTCTGCTAACCTAGCAGTTCAAAAACATGCAAATGTGATGAGATCAATAGGTACCGCTCCAGTGGGAAGATAACGGCATTCTATGCAGTCATGCCGGCCACATGACCTTGGAGGCTTCTATGGACAACGGCAGTTCTTCAGCTTGGAAATGGAGATGAGCACCAACCTCCAGAGTTGGATATGGCTGGACTTAATGTCAGGGGAAAACTTTTACCTTTACATAGAATCATAGAATCCTAGAGTTGGAAGAGACCTCATCCAGTCCAACTCCCTGCCAAGAAGCAGGAATATTGCATTCAAAGCACCCCTGACAGATGGACATCCAGCCTCTGTTTAAAAGCTTCCAAAGAAGGAGCCTCCACCACACTCCGGGGCAGAGAGTTCCACTGCTGAACGGCTCTCACAGTCAGGAAGTTCTTCCTCATGTTCAGATGGTTCTGCTTAAGTTTGGGTGAACAAATAGAATTCAGGTTGGATTGTGAATTTCCCAATCTTGGAATATGAATAAATGTTAAAATGCATGGCCGACTTACCGGGCCAGAGACATTGCGGTGTGGGGTGTCCTCTGCCGCCATTATTGCCTCAGGGGGGCTTCTTCCTCACAGAAGCCCCCTCGGATGGCGGGAAAGTTTCCCACCATCCGGCCAAGTGGCCAATGGCCAGCTGGCCATGCCTTGCTGCTGGAGAGGCTGGAGCTGGCCTCTCCCTCCTCTTGGGCAGCCTATTAAGGGCTGCCCCAAGCTCCTCAGCAGGCACTGTGCCTGCATCAGCTGATCCACCCCACCCACACTGCATGCTGTGTGCATTTCCGCTTGCGGTTAGCTTTTGTTTTGTTAGCTTGTCCTGGTTACCTGTTATCTGTTACTTGTTTTTGTGCTACTTATCACAACTCCTTGTTGGCATGGGTTCTGGCCCAGTCTATCTCTCTGAATGCATCCCTCCCTATGAACCCCCCAGGAACTTAAGATCATCTGGAGAGGCCCTGCTCTTGATCCCGCCTGCTTTGCAGGCACGTCTGATGGGGACGAGAGACAGGGCCTTCTCTGTGGTGGCCCCCCGGCTGTGGAACTCCCTCCCTAGGGATATTAGATCAGCCCCCTCCCTCCTGACTTTCCAAAAAGGAGTAAAAACTTGGCTCTTCGAGCAAGCATTTGGAACCCCAGAGTAAACAGACAAACTAGAGTTGGAAATTGACCCAGTAACAGCCAAGACTATGTAACGGATAAAGATTTGAACGAGAGGACATAGTTTCTTTTTAAATTGTTTATTATGCACTGTTGTTTATGTTTAATTGCACTTGATGTTTTTGCTTTATCAATGTATGTATATTGTTTCGGCATCAAATTGTGCCGACTATGTATACCGCCCTGAGTTGCCTTCGGGCTGAAATGGTCGGGATAGAAATAATGTAAATAAATAAATGGGGCATGGGCCCTGGATCTGGCTTGGTATCCCCCCCCCATAGCAGAAGGGGGGAACATCTGGTGGTCTCAGGGGTGCCGAGTTTACGTTGGCCCGGTATTGTGACGGCGACACCCTGGCGTGTTTTGCGGTATTGGACAGCAGTGGGCTGCCCGATCCTGATCCAAGACCCAAGCATGGCTGCCAACCCTTGTTCCTGTTATCAGTAAATGAGTTGTGGCCATTTTTTATCCCAACAACCCTGTGTGAGTGTTTTTCTCGGGTCGGCTATGGGAGGTGTTTTGCCCTTGCACATGCAACATGAAGAACAATAAGATTTTTAAATGGGAGAACAGGATCTGTAGAAACAAAACTGTTTTTGTGTTCACCAGCAACAAATTATTGGTAAACAGCTAAATTAATTTTTGTCCTCCACAAATAGCACAAACTGGCCGTGCTCTCTGTGACACACACACACATCCCTATTTAAATGTGTACAGCCCAGCTGCCTTCAAGTGTAATTTATAGCTTCCTATTCAACAATTCCTCGAATCAGCTCTCTCTTGGGTGGGCTCTTCGAAATCCATTTGCCCATTTTGTACCTAATGAAAATAAAATCAGAACTATCAGCTACCCTTTTTGGTGTACAGGGAATGGGGGAACGACGCCATAACATGTTGTACCTTCCTTCCCGGTGTGCCCAATATTTATTTATTTATTTATTTATTTATTTATTTATTTATTTATTTATTTATTTACTGTATTTGTATACTGCCCTTCTCAGCCCTCAGGCGACTCAAACTACAAAAAAAACAAAAAACAAAAAAATAACTACAATTCCCATCCATTGAATAGACTGGATGGAGATAATTTTTTTTGTCGTGTCAGGAGTGACTTGAGAAACTGCAAGTCGCTTCTGGTGTGAGAAAATTGGCTGTCTGCAAGGATGTTGCCCAGGGGACGCCTAGATGATTTGATGTTTTTATCATCCTTGTGCGAGGCTTCTCTCATGTCCCCGCATGAGGAGCTGGAGCTGACAGAGGGAGCTCATATGCCTCTCCCCGGATTCGAACCTGCGACCTGTCGGTCTTCAGCACTGCCAGCACAGGGGTTTAACCCACTGTGCCACCGGGAGCTCAATGGAGATAATGGGAGTTGTAGTCTGGTGCACATGGAGGACAAAAAGTTTGGGGAGAAGAACCTTTCTTCTCCACATCGCTGTTTGCCAGTGTTTTGCAATGTTTACATTTAGAGAGAAATGTTGGGTGGAAGTTATAAATGCGCAACTTAGGCTGTATCCACATTGTAGATATATAGCGGTTTGATACAACATTAATTGCTATGGATTTCTGGGATTTGTTGTATTGTGAGATATTTGTTTTAGGATGTGTTTGAAGGCATCTACCAACATCTACAAGTCACATTTTTTTCTCAAAGAAAGATAAATGCTTCCTATATTAGCACCTAGAGCACCGCTTCTCAACCTGGGGGTCTGGACCCCTGAGGGGGTCACGAGAGGGTGTCGGGGGGTTGCCAAAGACCATCAGAAAACAGTATTTTCTGTTGGTCATGGGGGTTCTGTGTGGGAAGTTTGGCCCAATTCTATCATTTGTGGGATTCAAGGGACTCTTTGATTGTAGGTGAACTATAAAACCCAGCAACTGCAACTCCCAAATGTCAAGGTCTGTCAGCTCCAGCTCCCCATACGTGATAAGCTTCTCACAAAGATGGTAAAACATCAAACATCCACGTGTCCCCTGGGCAACATCCTTGCAGATGGCCAATTCTCTCACACCAGAAGCAACTTGCAGTTTCTCAAGTGGCTCCTGACACAAAAAATAGTTTGTGTTGGTTAAAATTCCTTAAACAACAGTACATGTGCAAATCTTTCTAARGGAAATGATGCCCTGGTTATGCTGTATCATTAAAAACAGAAATTCAAGAAGATAGCTCTTGTAGGSTTTTTTTTAAAAAAATCTATATAAATAAACATGTAAYGTTCGTTTGTGGGATTAACATGATTCAAAAGCCACTGGATGAATTGACACAAAATTTGGAAACAATACACCTAACAGTCCAACAAGTGTCCATCACCCATAACCCCCCCCACACACACACACACAACCCCCCCAATACACCATATATAGTTAAAAAAACCCAAAATACACCATATATACATATACACATACACGCATATACATATGCACATGCACACATTCATACACACACATGTAGGCACAAAGACACACATACATATACATACATCCTCAGAGGTTGGATGCCTCAACCTCTGAGGATGTCTGCCATAGATGTGGGCAAAATGTCAGGAGAGAATGCTTCTGGAACATGGCCATACAGCACGGAAAACTCACAGCAACCCAGTGATTCTGATCTTGAAAGCCTTTGACAATACATTTTCCCTTTGGGTTTCAAAATGTGTTGTTGAAGGTAATGATGCTCGTGATGACCACATGACCTTGGAGGTGTCTACGGACAACGCCAGCTCTTCGGCTTAGAAATGGAGATGAGCACCACCTCCCAGAGTCGGACACGACTGAACTTTTGAAACCCAAAGGGAAAAGGGTTGGCTTGATATGCCTTCCTCTTGGCACGTTTCTCCCTTTTGCTCTCTATTTGTGCCTCTTCAAATTCTACAGCACTGCTGGTCACAGCTGACCTCCAGGTGACCTTAATGTCAGAGGAAAATCTTTACCTTTACTATACCTTTCCCATTGCTTAATAGGACAATAAACAAACCCATTGACAGACCCAACATTGTTTTCCCAATACTGATATTTAGCATTGCTGTAACACCTCCTTTGTGTAACGTAGAGACTTTAGATATACACAAAATCTAGCAGTATACTCTATGTATGTCCTTGGCACCAATTTCTTTGAAAATGTTTTCCTTTTAAATACTCAAAGATGGAACGGGATTGAATCCCAAATATCCAAAGTTCAACTCACTATCTGGCTCCTAGGTAGCCAGAACAAACAGCCGTCCCTCTTGACATATTCCCTGCGCATGCCCCTTGCAGGTTGCTTAGACTGAAATGAATGAGGTTAACTCAACCAGGTCTGCTCATCCCTTGTGTTTGCATTATTCACTTTACATTTCGGAAGCACTAACTGGCTCTCTTTTTTCTCAGCGGCAGACAGATTTCTCGGCGCAGCCAGCTGAGGCAAACAGGTGGAAGCCGAGTCAATAACTGCCCGGAGACCTGTTAATAGGATCCAGTCTCTTTCACCCTGATTCTGTACCATTTGTAAGCCCAACATCGAATGCTTTCGATCAGCAGCAGAGAGGAAAGCAAACTGCAATTGCTTTTCAACTTCGGCAGCATGAACTTGTTGGAGTTTCAAGTCTACTTTTTCTTGGTTTTGCCATCTCTGGTAAGTAAAGAATAATATTTGCCTTGATTGCTTTTGGAGAGCCACATTTTCCAAGAAATTGGTGTGCCAATTTGTTAGAAATTGTTCAGATGGAATGCTGTGGGATTTGGTTTGACTGTCCAGGTGTGAGTGGTTTTTCATGAATGAGATATGCAATGAAGAAGAAACATCTGTTTCTAGAATTACTAGATATAAGGAAAAGTGGAAAAAGTCTTTTATAGCTATTTAAGACTTAATCAGGTTTGGGAGAATATAGCACATGGAGCACAAACTTAGTATGATTTGGTGACTGCCTTGTGTTTTCTTTATGTAATCTTGCCTAGAAGAGAAGGCTCAGGGTGCATGTACACTGGAAAATGAATGCAGTTTGGTACCATTTTACCTGCCATGACTCAATGCTATGGAGTTCCGGGAGATGTAGTTTTACAAGGTCTTCTTTAGCCTTCTCTGCCATAAAGTGCTGGGCTTTCAGCAAACTTTATGGCTGATCTTGAGCTCAACATCAGCATGCAAGTTTCTATTTCAAATGTTATCAACTAGTTAATATGGCATTTTGCTCAAACACTGCTATCCCTGTACATTTTCCTGTAGAACTCAAGTTTTAGGTTTGGTTTTCAAGTTGAAATTATTAGAGATGCCAATATCCATCTATATTGCTTTTTTCTCTTTCTCATTTCAAACATTTCCAAACTTCCCTGCCTGTTTGGTGAGTTTGCAGGACTTTCCCCACATTTTTGGAGAATGTTCAGACTTTTTTTTGCATAAATCACTAAGCTGCTGAACTTGCTGACCAAAAGGTCGGTGGTTCAAATCCTGGGAGTGGGGTGAGCTCCCGCTGTTAGCCCCAGCTTCTGCCAACATAGCAGTTTGAAAACATGCAAATGTGAGTAGATCAATAGGTACCGCTTCTGTGGGAAGGTAACAGCGCTCCATGCAGTCATGCTGGCCACATGACCTTGGAGGTGTCTACGGACAATGCCGGCTCTTTGGCTTAGAAATGGAGATGAGCACCCACCCCCAGAGTTGGACACAACTAGGCTTAATGTCAAGGGGAAACCTTTACACTTATAACATAGGCGTAAAGATCCTGTATTTTACAGTGTTTGAGGTGCTTATGTAAAAAGAAACAATAATTTTAAAACTGAGAATAACAATGGTCTATCTGCTCTAAGTCAGTACATTTTATACTAGCTGTACCCACCACACATTGCTGTGGCCAACCTTCCCTCCCTCCCTCTTTCTTTCTTTCTTTCTTTCTTTCTTTCTTTCTTTCTTTCTTTCTCAGAAGGCTGAGAGGGGATATGATAGCCATGTATAAATATGTGAAGGAAGCCACAGGGAGGAGGGAGCAAGCTTGTTTTCTGCTTCCCTGGAGACTAGGATGCGGAACAATGGCTTCAAATTAGGAAGAACTTTCTGACTGTGAGAACTGTTCAGCAGTGGAACTCTCTGCCCCGGAGTGTGGTGGAGGCTCCTTCTTTGGAAGCTTTAAACAGAGGCTGGATGGCCATCTGTCAGGGGTGATTTGAATGCAATATTCCTGCTTCTTGGCAGGGGGTTGGACTGGGTGGCCCATGAGGTCTCTTCCAACTCTTTGATTCTATTATTCTTCTTTCTTTCTTTCCTTCCTTCCTTCCTTCCTTCCTTCCTTCCTTCCTTCCTTCCTTCCTCCCTCCCTCCCTCCCTCCTTCCCTCCCTCCTCTTGCCCTCCCTCCCTCCTTCCCTCCCTCCTCTTGCTAATCCTCTTCCCTTCCCCGCCTTTTCTTTCCGCTTTCTCCTTTTTCTTCCTTCTCTACCTATTCTTGGACTGCAACTTCCAACAGTCCTCCTGATCAATCTATCTACCTACCTGTCTATTTCTATGTAATCTATCTTACCTATCTGGAGGATTGCTGGGAGTTGCAGTCCAGGAATAGGAAGTTGGAAATATGCAGGTATTGGGATGCTCTCAAAGAAATCCAAGGAGAAATCCAAGGAACCCCCCCCCCCCCAAATTCTCATGGTGGTTCACGAGAAGGCCTTACTAGTGCATTATTTAAACTGTTATGTTTATTCATATCATGATCTGATCACCCATACTCAATATATCCCATATGCATGGGGGTATTGGGGTAATGATACAAAAGGTTTGCTAGGGTAGACCCTCTTTCACTCAGACTCAGCCCCCCCCCCCCGAAACTCAGCCCCCCAACCCCCCCTGAAAAAAATTCAGCCCCCCCCCCCCGAAACGAAATCCTGGCTACGGGCCTGTTGGAAGCAGTGCATTTGGATCATCCTCCTCTCCTAAAAGGGCCTGGTCTAGGGGATGCTGGGAGTTGTAGTGCAGAAGAGAGTGTGGATATGCTATTGTGTTTTTTGTTTGCCAGGGGGAGTCGTTTTTACGCTTGCACTGTAGTGTCTTTTTGCTTTTTTGGCTTTTTAAGTCCCTTCTGCTGTGTGTTTTTTTTACTGTTTTTATGAGCTATGGTCACTTGTTGGCCTGATAGGTGTATTGTGTCCAAATTTGGTGTCAATTTGTCCAGTGGTTTTTGAGTTATGTTAATCCCACATTTTTATATATAGCTATATATAAAAAATTTAAAAACAGCTGGCAATTCATTCCGTAAGAAAGCATGTTGATATGTAGAAGCATCCTTCCTTATTGAGGATGAGAGATTTTGGGTGCATCTTCATTATGTAATTAATGCAGTTTGATACCACTTGAACTATCATGGCTCAATGCTATGAGCTCTTGGGCCTTGTAGTTTTACAAGGCCTTTAGCATTCTCTTCCAAAGAGTCCTGGTGCCACACCAAACTACAAATTCCAGGATCCTATTGCATCAAGCCAAGGTTATTTCCAAGATAGCCGAGAGTCCAAAAACCTTTCAAATACAATCTCAGGAGTCAATCCACAGATAGATCCATAAACATGATAGCATGAACCCAAGGCAGGCAACTTATGCCACACATGAATTAGAACCAAGAGCAAATTTAAAAACTTGAATATATTAAATCCAAGAACATAGAACCAAAATCTGAGAGATGTTCACCTGAATACAATGTTACTCTTACAAAGGATTGTACCAGCAGGAACCACTTTAAAAGGCCTCATTCTCTCCCATAACATCATTTCCCATACACCTGCTTCTCCCACACCTGCTTTTTTTCTTTTCCTTATCTCTAAGCCGGGAGCCCCCGGTGGCGCAGTGGGTTAAACCCCTGTGCCGGCAGGACTGAAGACCGACAGGTCACAGGTTCAAATCCGGGGAGAGGCGGATGAGCTCCCTCTATCAGCTCCAGCTCCTCATGCGGGGACATAAGAGAAGCCTCCCACAGGGATGATAAAAACATCAAATCATCCGGGCGTCCCCTGGGCAATGTCCTTGCAGATGGCCAATTCTCTTACACCAGAAGCGACTTACAGTTTCTCAAGTCGCTCCTGACACGAACAAAACAAGCCAAGGCAGTTAAAGTGGGATCAAACTACATTAAGTCAACAGTGCACCCACACCCATTGACATGAATGGATGAGTTAACCCAAATGTTACTGTGTTATATTGATTTGTAATAGCAAGCCAAATCCTTGGCTATCAACTCAGTGCCGGGAAGATGTTAATATGAATGGGGGAAATCACATTTGCCTTTTTTGCACTCTACATGACTCCAAAAGATACAATGGAAAGATGTTGAAACCTTACTGAATATTTATCCTTGTGGTGTGGAAATGAACAACCTGGAATCAAGCGAGCCACCTGTTCAATAGGTCAATTTCAACATGTTTTGATCATTCTGGATGCATTGTGAATTACGGGGGGAAAAACATTGACGGTTCATGGCATTCTGCCATGAATAGGAAGGAGGAGAAAAAGAAGAGCAACAAAAAGGAGAATCTGTTTTGTGTTTTCCAGAGTGGTTTGTGCATTTGTTTTTAACCTGCAGTAAAATGATTTCCTTTTCAGTGATGCATCCTTGGAAAAAAAATGAATTTGCCAAACCCCATATAATGTTAATTGGCTTCTAAAGTGGCAGTGTAAGAAAAAAGGTTAAATGCAGGGATATAACAAAAAAAAAGTCTTTGCAGTAGCTTTTAATTTGTGGTTAGTAGGCATGTGCAATCCATGCTTCTACGTGGTTCTAAAGCACTTACAAAACTAAAATTTTGGTGGTGAAAACTAGGGTGCTGGTGCTTTGCTTCTACAGTGTTGCTAAAGTTCTGGTGGTGAAAATTTCAGAACTCTAACAAAACTTTCAAATTTTCATTATTATTTTGTTATTGGTGATTTTTATGACAGAACCAATTAGGAACTGCCATTTATAATGAAATTTTGAAAGTTTTGTTAGAGTTCTGAAATTTTCACCACCAAAACTTTAGCAACACTATTGAAACAAAGCACCAGTGCCTCCTAGTTTTCACCACCAAAATTTTAGTTTTGTAGGTGCTTTAGAACCATTTAGAACCATGGATTGCACATGCCTAGTGGTTAGCTTTCCTAATGGCGCTCCATGCTGTCATGCTGGCCACATGACCTTGGAGGTGTCTATGGACAATGCAGGCTCTTCAACTTAGAAATGGAGATGAACATCAGCCCCCAGAGTATGACACAACTGGACTTAATGTCACGGGAAAACCTTTATCTTTACCTAGCTTTCCCACAGCGCATTTATACTGCAGAATTAAAGCAGTCTGATATCACTCTAACTGCCATCGCTCAATGCTATGGGCACCTGGGAGTTGTAATTTTACACAGTTTTTATCCTTTGCTAACTTAGTGCTGGTGCCTCATCAACCTACAAATCAAAGGATTCCATAGCATTGAGCCATGGTAGTTAAAGTGGTGTGAAGCTGCATTAATTTACTACTATAGATGCACCTTTGGACTCTTAACTTCCACAATCCCTGCCCAGTGTGGGCATTGATTAGGAGACTCTGGAAAGCTTTAATCCAGATGGGCTGTTGTGTGTTTTCTGGGATGTATGGCCACGTTCCAGAAGCATTCTCGTCTGACATTTCACCTGCATCTGTGGCAGGCATCCTCAAAGGTTGTAAGGTCTGTTGGAAACTATCTTCCAAAATGTCCAGAGAGGGCAAAGGTAGATTTGCAGCAGGGGAGCCTGACTCTGAATTTATTTCCATTTCTAGATTCTTGGACAATCTCACTCAGAATGTGATTCCATAATGGAGTGGAAGAAAAATGAGACTGATTGCCTACGGGAGATCCAGCAGGAGAAGAATGACACAGCAGGTACTTGGTAGCAGAGGAATCTGGAAAGCTTTCCATTACCTTTCTATGAGGCTGTGAATGTGCAATGTGCCCAAGATCAAAGCACATAGCTATCTATCTATCTATCTATCTATCTATCTATCTATCTATCTATCTATCTATCTATCTAGCCATTCATTCACCTCTGTGTATTTTATTTTCTAAGCACATAAAATACTGCTTCCTGCCCATAAAATGCTTTTTTCAGTGCAAAACAACCACATGGGACTTTTGTGCATAATAATAATAATTATAATAATAATAATAACAACAATAATAATGATAATATCCCAAACTGTGAAAATTCTCATCAGTTGAGGATTCTTAGTGTCAGAATTTCTCAACACTCAGAAAACACGTTTGCTAACCAATTTTCAAATACTTTTGAATATAATTTCCATCTCTAACCTTGAACAACTTTTTTTTAAAGTTCAGGATGGAAACCCTCACCAGATTTATTACTCTACCAACACTGGGCGTAATCCAGTTTTTCTATATGCATTTCCAGCACATGTAGATTAAATTTTAACATGTCATTATTTTTTTCCGCTTAAGGTTGTAAAACAATGTGGGACCACCTTCTGTGCTGGCCAGATGCAAGTCCTGGACAAACGCTCACCTTTACCTGTCCAGGTATCCTCCTCCACTTTACCAAGCAGCCAGGTAAGAAGGTTTGTGCTTCGAAGGGACTGGTTGGATTTTCTTTTTGCTATGTATGGCTGAGGCTGGGTCTACATTGCTATAATAGCCAGACCAGCCACTTTCTGAATCCAGTTATCTACTTTGAACTGGATTAGAAGAGTCTACACTGCCATATAATCCAGTTTCTGAATTTGGATTATCTGATTTGAACTGAATAAGAAGAGTCTACACTGTTGTATAATCCAGTTTAAAGCAGATAATCTGGATTCAGAAACCGGATTGTATGGCAGTGTAGATGGGGACCACATCATGGTCTATATCAGTGGTTCTCAACCTGGGGTCCTCAGATGTTTTTGGCCTTCAACTCCCAAAAATCCTAACAGCTGGTAAACTGGCTGGGATTTCTGGGAGCTGTAGGCCAAAAACATCTGGGGACCCACAGGTTGAGAACCACTGGTCTATATCATATAACTTTACAAATCCTTCTTGCCAAGAAACCATTGAGCCATGGAAGTTCAATTATAAACTCTGTATGTAGATGCAACTTGAGAGGCATCTGCTATACCTTATGGCTTGCACACAAGTATATATATTTCGTATCAAAAGCATTGCATAAATTAGTATAAAACCAATTAAAATAGAAGGAGCGCAGGTGGCTAAATATCTTTTGACCAAAAACGGGCAACAGTAATGGCATTGTCTGTAGCCTCCAACAATTCTTCCTCTGTACATGAGGCAGGGCATAGTGGACAAGCATACAGATGTGGAGTTGTCTGTTCTGCTCCACAATCACACAAGGTGGGGGATTCTTTTAGGTAGTGCCATTTTGCCAGGTTGTCTTTTGATCTGCCCACTCCACTTCTCGGTCTGTTCAGGGACTTCCAAGTTGCCCATTCTTGGTTTGACCCTGGAGGAAGACCCTCATGGGGGGGAGGGGCATCAGGTTGGGATTTCCTGGTTTAGCTGCCCAGAGGGATACCCTTGCTGTTGCTCGGAAAGTTACCAAATGAAGAACTGACTATAAGACCCCCTTTTACACTCTATATCTATATCCCAGGATCTGATCCCAAGTTATCTGGTTTGAACTGGATTATATGAGTCCTCACTGCCATATAATCTGAGATAAGCAAATAATCTGGGATCAGATCCTGGGATCTAAGAAAACCATCTGCAACTCAGCTAGAAGTGGGAAAAATTCTAGCAAATATTCTTGCCTTTTCTGACTATCTTGATCTATTGAGATACCTCTCCCCTTAAAAAAAGATGTATCATATTTCTCTCTCCTCATTTTCATGCTTGTTTGTGAATTTTTTTGCAAAGTTAAACTTGTTTTATAAAAGGAGGTTTTCCACAAAAAGATTATGGAAAATGGAAAACTGATTTTGTGCTTTGAAAAAACATTTCTTTGCACAAAAAAAAACTTTTACATGATGTCCTGAAAAGTGAAAAATGAACCAAATACATGCAAAAATGCTTTAGATGAAATTATTTTTTTTATTTCATATATGTCAGATTGAAATAAGAGGAAACTTGAAATTTTGATATGAACTGTGAAAGCATGATGGTTTTGGATATCTATCTGATGTGGATCACTTCATTTCAGTGGCTGACTCTTATGTTTTGTAGGCTCCGTCAAAAGAAGCTGCACAGCACAAGGTTGGTCTGAAATTTCCCCGCCATATTCTGTTGCGTGTCCAGTGGAAGATGAAGTTATTCTTGATGAAGTAAGTAGAGTGATGGAAACAAACACCCTAAGATCTGAGGGAAGCAGGTGAAAAAAGAGGGCAAGGAAGGATGCCCTTGAGATGCCTCCTTTACAAGGGGCTCTGGAGGACAGACACCTTTGAGAAGGACTCTTCTCCTTAAGATTTGACTGCTGGAATTATTTATTTATCTCACCTTTCCTTCAAGGAAATTATGGTGCATAGTTTACTTTGAGTTTTCAGTAACCCTTTGGATTAAGAGCAGGAAGAAAGAAAGAACGAGAAAGAGGAGGAATGAATGAATATGTGTAAGAGAGGGTACATCTACACTGACCCATATTCCTCTGAAGTGTGGCCTCTTCTCTTCCTATCGGTTTTGTACTTTCCAGGCATCATCCTTTTTAATCCTCTGGCAAACAGTTTCTTTCTTCTAAATCTCCACCTGAGTACTCATTCTTCTCTCCATTACAGATGTCCTACTTTTCAGCAGTCAAAACCATCTACACCGTGGGTTACAGCATCTCTATCATCTCTCTTGCATTGGCTGTTACCGTCCTCATTGCATTCAGGTATGATCACAAGAATCTGATGAGAAGAATTGGTGGAGGACTAGTTCAGATATATGTAGATGAGCCTGCTTATTAAAATTGCAGGACAATAAGATGTGATATATACATTCAACATTCTGGCTATTACATGGGCAAAGTCTTGCATTATATAGGACTCCCACAAATATACCTCGAAGCACTTCAGATGGGAACACATCACACCTTGCCTTAGAGAATAGGCTGTGATATTTGGCCACAGTCAAGTTCTTAAGATAATTTAAATAAATAAATACTTCGAATATATTTTGATGGTTTTTAACTGACATTTTTAATGCTGTTTGTGTTTAATTCTGTTTTAATGTTTGTATGTTTGCATATTTTAAATTGGATATCAATGCTTTTATGTCAAGCCACTTTGAGTCCTCTGTGGGGGGATAAAGCAGGGTATTATTATTATTATTATTATTATTAATAATAATAATAATAATAAATTTGCTTCTTGGAGAGGCCCAGCATAGTGTATACTCAGGGCACTTGGGGAACAAGAAACATATGAGCAAGAATGCAGCTCACAGAAAGCAATGTCCCACAGTCTTTGTTTAACAATTTTAAGTGTCATGTCAAAACTCAGATGAGATAAGAGAGATGAAGAAAGGCTGATAGTAGAGGTTTTTTGAGAGTTAGTCTTTAAGCAGTTGCTAGTGTATTCATCTTGGGCTAGATGGTAAATCAGACCTGAACCCAGTCTGAAAACACTGACTTTAAGCTGCTATTTCAGGGCCCACCACCAAGCTCTTGTTGACAGGGGGAACAGCAAGACACAGGATGGCACATCTGGGGAACTGGAAGATGGTTTAGTTGGCCTTATATGTTTTTTGGTCTGTTTGCGGTTGTACACCTTTTCTCGGTGAGCAGGTTGGGTCTTTGGACCAAAATAAAGCTTTGATTGATTGATTGATTGACTAGTTCAGATGGGGCACATCATGCATTCATATACCCATGTAATTATAACAATTATGGTTTGGATCCTATCGGTGAATTACACGGACCCTTTGAATGAGCTGTTGAGTGTTGAGTGAAGACATTGACAATTCCATTCATTCAATGACTCTCTAGTAAGGTTACCATAACTAGTTAGGGTTAACTAGAGAATTGAGGACCCTCTGATTTAGGATCAACCCAATGAATCAATTATTGAATTATAAATCTACATGAATTCTGCGAACAACAACATAGTAGGGCTGGGCGGTTTCGTTTCGTTAATTCGTAATTCGTTAAAAAATTCGTTAATTTTTCAATTACAAAACGATAACGAACCAGTCTGGAGCAATTTTTCAAAAAAATGAATTTTTAAATCGTTTCGTAAATGTTTTGTATTTCGTTATTGTATTCGTTTCGTTATCGTTTTGAGGTCGTTTCGTTATTATTTCCGCATGTCTGGGGCAAGTTTTATAGTTGTTTTTGGTTTTCTAAGGGTTTTTATAGTTGTTTTTGGTTTAATTAAGCTTCAGAAGTTCCCCCTGTCCCATTTGGAGGTTTTTTAGCGTATTGCGCGGTCGCGTCCGCCATTAACGAATCGATTCGTTATTGTTTCGGAAATCGATTCGTTATTGTTTTGTATTTTTTTTCACATTTACGAAATTTTGTAAATATCGAACTTTTTTAAAGGAAAATTTTGTAATTATTTTAAATAACGAAACGCAAAAACCCCCAAAAAACGAATCGATTTTAGAAACAAATTTTTCCGTTGTTACCCAGGCCTACAACATAGTTTAACTTAGGGTGGAGAGCCTGGAAAAACAAAGGGTCAAATCTTTATTTTTGTTTTTGCATACCAGACTGAACAGTTTCAAAATGTGGACCAGCACTTGCCATTGCATACATGCTAGCATTAAACAAATGAAGATTAATACACATATATCATACATATAGCATTCTTCTCTTTTCTGTAAGGTAGGTCATAATATTATCAATAGCCATTTCAAATGAGAATGTTTCCAGCTTTGAATTACGTCTGTTCCTTTCTCTGCAGGAGACTCCGTTGCCCTAGAAATTATATCCACATCCACCTCTTTCTCACCTTCATCCTGAAAGCTGTTGCTATCTTCATCAAGGATGCTGTTCTTTTCCAAACAGAAAACATTGACTACTGTAGCTTTTCCACGGTATGCTGAGTTTAAAAAGGAATATTCCCCCATGGTGCAAAATTTATTTATATTTATTTATTTCGGTTTCTTCTACCCCGCCCTTCTCACCCCGAAGGCAGTAGATTATGGCTAAATTCCTATGGGGCATTGCCCTAGTCCCATTCTGGTGTACAAAATATGTACCTATATGTTTAGATTATGTGATGAAAACATCATGCAAAAAACAGAATTAGTTTTGGAAGAAAGAGACATTAAAATTGGAGGAAGGAGCATCAACAACTTAAGATAGGCAGATGGCATTATACTGCTAGCAGAAAATAGTAAAACCTTGGAGAAAGTAAAGGCAGAAAGTTGAACATTAATAAAACAAAAATAATGACTACAGATATTTAACACAACTTTAATAACAACATTAAAATTGTTTACCGCTTTTCATATCGTGGCTGCTCAATCGTTAACCAAAATAGTGACCACAGGCAAGAAATCAGAAGAAGACTTGGTCTTGGAAAGGATGCTATGAAGGATTAGACAAGATATTGAAGTATAAAGATATATCACAGAATACTTAGGTTAGACTGCCCCATGCCACTGCCCCATGCCACCATCTGCAGATGCCATAGACTGCTAAAAATACCAATCAATGGGTCCTAGAAGAAATCAGTTCTGAAACCTCCTTAGAAGCCAAGTTGGTAACACCGAGATTGTAATACTTTGGCCTCATCATGAGATGACAGGAGTCTAGAAAAGACTACATTGCTTGGTAAAGTGGAGGGCAATAGGAAAAGAGGAAGACCATGTTCTGTGGATTGATTCCACCAGGGATGTCATGGCTGCCTTTAGTCTGCAAGACTTCAGCAGAGAGGTGGAGGATAGGAGGACTTGGAAGTCTCCCATTCACATGGTCACAATAAGTCAAAGTTGCCTTGAAGTTATGTAATCAACAAGCAATAGCATTAATACTTGGCATGGAAGTGCCTGCTATCCCATCACTAGTAGCAGTTCCTAGCCAGTTCATGAATACAGTATATCCCCTTTATAGGAACTAGTACAGTAACTGGAAGGACCACTGAACTATCACTTCCATTGTTCTGGGTTCTTTGTGAAAGTTATTCCAGGTTCCATCACATTGTTAGAGAGATGGGCCAAAACTAACAAAATGAAGTTCAACAGGGACAAATGCAAGATACTCCACTTAGGCAGAAAAAACGAAATGCAAAGATACAGAATGGGGGACGCCTGGCTTGAGAGCAGTACGTGTGAAAAAGATCTTGGAGTCCTCGTGGACAACAAGTTAAACATGAGCCAACAATGTGATGTGGCGGCAAAAAAAGCCAATGGGATTTTGGCCTGCATCAATAGGAGCATAGTGTCTAGGTCCAGGGAATTAATGCTACCCCTCTATTCTGCTTTGGTTAGACCACACCTGGAATATTGTGTCCAATTCTGGGCACCACAATTCAAGAGAGATATTGACAAGCTGGAATGTGTCCAGAGGAGGGCGACTAAAATGATCAAGGGTCTGGAGAACAAGCCCTATGAGGAGCGGCTTAGGGAACTGGGCATGTTTAGCCTGAAGAAGAAAAGGCTGAGAGGAGATATGATAGCCATGTATAAATATGTGAGAGGAAGCCACAGGGAGGAGGGAGCAAGCTTGTTTTCTGCTTCCATGGAGACTAGGACGCAATGGAACAATGGCTTCAAACTACAAGAGAGGAGATTCCATCTGAACATGAGGAAGAACTTCCTGACTGTGAGAGCCGTTCAGCAGTGGAACTCTCTGCCCCGGAGTGTGGTGGAGGCTCCTTCTTTGGAAGCTTTTAAACAGAGTCTGGATGGCCGATCTGTCAGGGGTGATTTGAATGCAATATTCCTGCTTCTTGGCAGGGGGTTGGACTGGATGGCCCATGAGGTCTCTTCCAACTCTTTGATTCTATGATTCTATGGTGCTCCATGATCTCCTCATGTGCAGAATGGCTCCTTTCCTTGCTTTGCTCCCTTCCCAGCATAGATTATACCTGAAATCCTGGATTTATTAGAAAAATAAAAACTGTGTAAGTCCAAATAACCCAGAACATTTTGGGTCAGATGAGGGTAGGATCCCAATGATGATATCCAAAAATACTGTGGGTGAGATAGATAGATAGATAGATAGATAGATAGATAGATAGATAGATAGATAGATAGATAGATAGATAGGTAGATAGGTAGGTAGGTAGGTAGATAGATAGATAGATAGATAGATAGATAGATATTGCAGAAAGCCAATGAACGGCAAATGAACAGACTAATTCACATTTTCACTTTTCCTCTCCTGTAGACTGAATGCAAGATCTCTGTGGTTTTCAGCAATTATTTCACAATGGCCAATTTCATGTGGCTACTGGTCGAAGCTCTTCACCTCAATTGCCTGCTTCTCACATATATTCCTTATGGAAGAAAATATTTCTGGTGGCTTGTTCTCTTTGGTTGGGGTAAGCTTGTTTGTGTTCCAGATTTTTTAAAAATGCCCCTCCCTCTGTCTTTGTCTCTGAATAATGAAAATTTCACAAAAATCTCAGATTATATGGCAATACTTGTTGACCAGATATCCTACTGTGTTAGCAGTATTAAGATATTGTTTGCACAACTAAAAAATGTGGGAATATTCTTTGGCTATGTCCTAACCATTCCAGGTTGAAGTATATTATGTATAACCTTAAAGAAAGTGCATGATTTTGAAGAAGCCATGGATAGGTGCATTGATAAACATCACTGTACTCTCTTTTTGTTTCCTCAGGTGTGCCAACATTTTTTACCATACTGTGGGTATTGGTTAAGGTGCACTTTGAAGACACTCTGTGAGTAATAATTTCTTCTCAGAGTCCTAAAAGGGTGTGGGTAGCACATGCTCGAAGGAGACTGGAAAGCATTTGAGTGCGCATCTACAGTGACCACTTAATCTCTAGTGAAACTAGCATAGAAGAAAGCAGTTTCACCATGCAGATGATTACATTGGACGTTCTGGAACTAGTTGATGTTTAATGCACCACAGAAGTTGACCCCAAACTGTTTCCAGGATCCACAGGATCCATCTATTAACAACTATGGAGAATGCAATTTTTTCCAGTTACCACCACTGTAATGTATATGTGTCGATCAGTGGAGAGCTTTGGGTGTCTGCACACTGTGCACAGTATCACTTTGTGGTGTTGCTTTCACCATACAATGTGCTTTATACTAGAGTGTGTTGATGTGCATTAAGGGTTGTATTTCAGAGTATCCTCCAACTTTGCTTATCCCAATTTATAGAGCTTAAAGTGTGCTTCAGTATGTGTCTATGGTGCATTAAATGATCAGTGTAGATGTGCCTCATGTTGCCTGTAACTCTCTTGGAATCACATGCATGTAGGTCTTTTAACCTTCATTGCAAAAGAGGATATTTGGTTCCCCTTGTGCAGTGCCCCTCAATTCAATTCAAAAGCAAGTTTGCAATCTTTTATTTATTCTTTAAAACATTTATTTTACACCCTTCTCAACCCAAAGGGGACTCAGGGTGGGGCACAGAATATATATGGCAAACATTCAATCCTGGGACACTTAGTGGCTGAGACAGATGCAGAATATCCAGGTAGTGTCCAGCTGCAACAAGGAGAGAGAAAAAGCAACGATTTCCTATGTGTGCCGACGTACAACCAAATGTTCCCTGAGTAGGAAATGCCTTTTCCCAACCAGTATATCACCACACCACACTGGCATATGTTTACCTGCAAATGTATATTTGTCTGAACTGTGGCATTCTGTTTCCAGATGCTGGGATGTCTACCAAGGTTCTCCTTACTGGTGGCTTATCAAAGGACCCATTATTGTTTCAGTTGGGGTATGTATAATTGTTTAAAAAAATCTATGGTAGGGATTAATGACTTTAATAACAAGGCCAGTGTATATATGTGTATGCGAGATGAAATGCAGATAAAAGAATGGAGTGTGTTCATAGTAGAGGTAGAAATTTTGTTGTTTATTCATTCAGTCACTTCCGACTCCTCATGACCTCCTGGACCAGTGCACGCTAGAGCTCCCTGTTGGCTGTCACCACCCCCAGCTCCTTCAGAGTCAAGCCAGTCACTTCAAGGATGCCATCCATCCATCTTGCCCTTGGTTGGCCCGTCTTCCTTTTTCCTTCCATTTTCCCCAGCATCATTCTCTTCTCTAAGCGTTCCTGTCTTCTCATGATGTGCCCAAAGTACTTCATCTTTGCCTCTGATATCATTCCCTCCAATGAGCAGTCGGGATTTATTTCCTGAAGTATGGACTGGTTGGATCTTCTGGCGGTCCAAGGCACTCTCAGAATTTTCCTTTAACACCACAGTTCAAAAGTGTCTATCTTTCTTCGCTCAGCCTTCCCTAAGGTCCAGCTCTCACATCCGTAGGTAATTATGGGGAATACCATTCCTTTATTATGCAGATCTTGGTTACAAGTGTGATGTCTCTACTCTTTACTATTTTATCAAGATTGGACATTGCTCTCCTCCCAAGAAGTAAGCGTCTTCTGATTTCCTGGCCACAGTCTGCGTCTGCAATAATCTTTGCGCCTAGAAATACAAAGTCTGTCACGGCCTCCACGTTTTCTCCCTCTATTTCCCAGTTATCAATCATTCTTGTTGCCATCATCTTGGTTTTTTGATGTTTAGCTGCAACCCAGCTTTTGCGCTTTCTTCTTTCGCCTTGATTAGAAGGCTCCTCAGCTCCTCCTCGCTTTCGGCCATCAAAATGGTGTCATCTGCATATCTAAGGTTGTTAATGTTTCTTCCAGCAATTTTCACCCCAGCTTTGCATTCGTCAAGCCCTGCACATTGCATGATGTGTTCTGCATACAAGTTGAATAGGTTGGGTGAGAGTAGACAACCCTGCCGTATAGGTAGAAATAATATTTGAAATTATTCACAAATGGTTGAAAAACTTGTTGGAAGTCACTAGTAAGAGGAATCCTCAACTGAGAATGACGTATTGTACATTATGTGTGTCAACTGAAAATAGCACACTGTGCTGAAAACTGGGCAGAATATAGTATTTCTTTGCATACTGGAGTGACAGTACAGGCAGTGCTTAAATTACAAAGCAAGATAGGTTCTATAGGTTTGTACTTAAATTGAATTTGTTTGTAAGTTGGAACATTTTAGTTAATTAAATTTTTATTAAAATTGTTAAAAGAAGAAAAAAAGAAATATATATGAGAGAAGAGGGGGGGGGGGGGGCTTTGGATAGCACAGAGAAGTGTTAACTATGGGTTAAGTCGGATGTTTGTAACTTGGAGACTACCTATACTATGAAGCATGGTACTATGCATTTATCTGACCTTGAGTCTAGAGCTATGTTTTAAACAAGCAATTTAAATTAAGATCAAAAATGAAATTTCAAACCAATCAATGTATTGTTGAAGGCTTTCATGGCCAGAATCACTGGGTTGTTGTAGGTTTTTTCAGGCTATATGGCCATGTTCTAGAGGCATGCCTCTAAAACATGGCCATATAGTCCAAAAAAACCTACAATCAAACAAATCAGTTTTCAAATTTAGTTGCTAAACAATAACATGTATTTCTTTCTCTCCCTCTCACTTTCTCTGTCTTTCTCCACCATGACCACCACCATTACAAACCCACGAAACAGGTGAACTTTATTCTTTTCATCAACATCATCCGAATCCTGCTGAAAAAATTGGACCCAAGACAAATCAATTTCAACAACTCATCTCAATACAGGTAATTGAGTCCAATTCACCTAATGCAATGGAGTGGCGGAAGAACCATGTGACAGCATTGTTGGACAAGGGGCTTTGGGAAAGAGCTGAAGATTGATAGATAGGTGGAGAGATTAATAGATTTATGACAGATCTCTTGTTTGCATGCTAAAAGTTTGTGTCACCCAATGTTTATTGGTAAATTAATGGAAGACCAATGGAAATGTTCCTACAATGTGTGGAAGTAATTTGAGTAATTTAGAAACAAACTTACAGCATGTGGATAGTTAGTCATTGGATCTCATGTTTTGGTCGCCATCTCGTGGCCATTATACTAAAGGCACAATAGGCACCACTTTAATTTCCTTTACCCATTCTCCTTTCTTTCCTCATTTTAGGCGTCTTTCCAAGTCAACTCTGCTCCTCATCCCATTGTTTGGGACTCACTACATCATCTTCAACTTTCTACCTGAATACACCAATGTGGAGTTCCGTCTTTACTTAGAGCTCTGTATTGGATCGTTCCAGGTAAAGTGTGATTTTTTTTCTTACCTGAATTTTAACTTTTGTTTGATTATTAAAATACATATATGAATTTAAAAAGGTAAAGGTTTTCACTTAACGTTAAGTCTAGTTGTGTCCAACTCTGGGAGGTGGTGCTCATCTCCCTTTCTAAGCCAAAGAGCTGGTGTTGTCTGTAGACACCTCCAAGGTTATGTGGCCTGCATGACTGCATGGAGCATCGTTACCTTCCTGCCAGAGCTATACCTATTAAAAACATTTGCATGCTTTTGAACTGCTAGGTTGGCAGAAGATGGGGTTAACAACAGGAGTCCCCCCCTTCCCCAGACTTGAGCCGCTGACCTTTTGGTCAGCAAGTTCAGCAGCTCAGCGGTTTAACCTGCTGCACAACCGGGTTATTTAATATTATCTCTATCTATCTATCTATCTATCTATCTATCTATCTATCTATCTATCTATCATCTATCTATCTATCTACCTATCTAATTTATTTACATATTTATTTAACATTATGTATAATATATGTATGTGTCCATGTGATTCAATGATTCTATGTATAATATACATGCTATTGTTCTATATGTAATATCTATATACAGGTGGCCTTCTACATTTGTGGATTTAACTTTTTTGGATTTAATTATATGTAAATTTGAGAAATGTGGTCTTTCTATGAATCTCTTGGTCCTCTAGTGTGATTCTAAGGATAGACACATGGGTTAAACATATGTACCAAATAAGATGGTGGTAAGCCCAAAATCCACACTTTTGAATTGGTAAAGCGGTAAGATCTGGCCACTGAGTGACAAGATGATGACTGCTTCATCTTTGCTAGAATATGCATGCTTCAGGGTCAAACACAGAATTTAAATAATGTTCAACGTGGTTGGATCCCATGTTTGACCTTCGAGTATGAGTATAATTGATATTCAACATGATGTATCCAATTTTTGATACTCCATGTTGAGCATCAGTTACACTTCAAGGTCAAATATGGGATCCCACCATGTTGTGCATCAGTTAAATTTGAGGTTGTAGGAGCATAATTTAGAAGGACATGTGCATCTATAAATATATATATAAACTAGCTGTCCCCTGCCATGCGTTGCTGTGGCCCAGTCTGTGTATATGTGTTTTGTGTGTGTATATGTGTGTATGTATATATATATATGTGTGTGTGTGTGTATGTATATATTTGTGTATGTTTTTATATGTGTTTGTGTGTATATATGTGGTTTTGCACATGCGTTGTAATGTATATATTTTTTGGCTTTTTAAATGTCTTCTGCTGTGTTTTTTAGTGTTTTTATAAGAGATGGTCACTCATTGGCCTGATAGGTGTATTGTGTCCAAATTTGATGTCAATTCATCCAGTGGTTTTTGAGTTATGTTAATCGCACAAATGAACTATTTATATAGATATTCTAATGCAAAATTCATATCATATAGTATCTTGCATGAAAAAAAGGTAAATATTAGACTTCCTAGATCTCAGCAGTTGGAATCCAAGGTAGTAACCACCTTAATCTTGTCTTACTAAGATGCATTAATTGAGATTCAGTTATAAGAGATACAAGGTCAAGGTTCTTGAGCATTTTCAAAATATCCATACCCTATAGGAGCAAGGCATACAGGATCCAAAAGAGCTGGAATCCAAGTAAACAATGCTGGAATGGCTGTTTATTATGTATGTCATGTTATTTATTCATTGAACTTTTTCATTTATTCTTCTTAGGGCTTGATTGTCGCTATCCTATACTGTTTCCTAAATCAAGAGGTAAGGACACTGTATTATTTTGCCTTCATTGTGATTTTCAACTGGATGAGAAACTTTGTCCAAAGAGAGGAAAGTTTTTCAATGGTATCTCCATGACCTTTAGAGAAAGAAAGCTAGTCTGATCCAGTGTTCAAATGTGAAAACAAATTTGGGAAAGTTGGTAATTCCTTAGTGGAAGGGTGTTGTGACTCAGCTGGAACCACAGAGTGCCTCTGATGAGGATGATGGGATTCAGGTTCACAATCTGGTTCAAAATGTCCCTGTTATAGTCAGTGAGGAACAGGGTGTGGAAGTTCAGTTTCCCACAGCAAGAAATGAGTTTGTTGATACTGAAACTAGCCAGGTGCAGGTGCAAATTGACTCAGAAAAGGAGGACAGTTCTCAGCCTGATAATGAGCAGGAAGGCAAACTGGATAACACTAACGAACAGACTGACCTTGACGAAACGGGAACCTTAGATCTGTGCTGACCGTTTGGAATTCAGAGTTCGAAGGAGTGTGAGAATAGCTAACAAGAAGGAGGCCAGAGGCCAAAGAAACGCCTTCATGTTTTGCAAAGGGTATTAAGCAGTGTGTTTGGGACCAAACCTTTGTCAGAGCAACTTTACATTAACCAAGAAGCTTACATTTTGCTTGTCTGGATTATCTTGCAGTTCTTGTGTTCATGGTCTCAGGACTCAGTCATGTTCTCATGAGATTTTGCTTTGCTGGCGCCTTTTTGAATCATGCTTCAAAGTGTTATTATGTATTGATCTTTTAGAGCATTACTTTTGCTTTTAAGAACTTTTTATCTTTTATTCTTTAATAAACTATAAAGATTTCTGGCTGTGTGCAGTTTGGTGTTTTTAGCAAGGTGAACCTACTCTGAGGTGTGACAAAGGGGTGTCATTCTGCAGGGTTTTTTTTCATTATGTGATATCACCATGTAGTGGTTGCGGAAAATATTGCTGTTTTGTTGAAGGCTTCCATGGCTGGAATCACTGGGTTGTGGTAGGTTTTTCCGGGCTATATGGCCATGTTCTAGAAGCATTCTCTCCTGATGTTTTGTCTGCATCTATGGCAGGCATCCTCAGAGGTTGTGAGGTCACCTCTGAGGATGCCTGCCATAGATGCAGGTGAAACATCAGGAGGGAATGCTTCTAGAACATGGCCATATAGCCGAAAAAACCTACAACAACCCAGTATTGTTGTTTCTTCTTCCTCTTGAATTTTTGCAGGTTGCTTTGGAGAAGAATGACTAGAACCCACCAAATATGTGTCAGAATTTGAGGATCAGAAAGAAGATCCTTCCTCTAAGATATCTGGCTCTTCTGGGTTTCCTGAGCTGATATAACTTAGTCCTGAGCCATTGTTCAGTACCTGAACTTTAAATTAGACCCTAAAACAGTTCTAATGTCTGCATACATTTGAACCTCCCCATTTGCAAATACAACTGCTGCAGACTTATGGATCTGGTTGCAATGTTTTCTCTAGGAATTTCTAGGTCCTCCAGTGTGACAATGGAAATTGACCATAGAGCCACGTGGAAGGATCTAAAGGTTCCTAGAGAAAAACAACCTCTCTATAAATCTCTAGGAGCCTAGTGTCTAGGTCCAGGGAAGTCATGCTCCCCATGCTCTATTCTGCTCTGGTTAGACCACACCTGGAATATTGTGTCCAATTCTGGGCACCACAATTCAAGAGAGATATTGACAAGCTGGAATGTGTCCAGAGGAGGGCGAATAAATGATCAAGGGTCTGGAGAACAAGCCCTATGAGGAGCGGCTTAAGGAGCTGGGCATGTTTACCTGAAGAAGAGAAGGCTGAGAGGAGATATGATAGCCATGTATAAATATGTGATTGGAAGTCATAGGGAGGAGGGAGCAAGCTTGTTTTCTGCTTCCTGGAGACTAGGATGCGGAACAATGGCTTCAAACTACAAGAAAGGAGATTCCATCTGAACATGAGGAAGAACTTCCTGACTGTGAGAGCCGTTCAGCAGTGGAAATCTCTGCCCCGGAGTGTGGTGGAGGCTCCTTCTTTGGAAGCTTTTAAACAGAGGCTGGATGGCCATCTGTCAGGGGTGATTTGAATGCAATATTCCTGCTTCTTGGCAGGGGGTTGGACTGGATGGCCCATGAGGTCTCTTCCAACTCTTTGATTCTATGATTCTATGATTCTAGAGCAGTGCAATTCTATGGTCAATTTTTGGCAATGGTTCTGTTCAACATCCTTATTAATCTAAGCCATCTTTATTAATGACTTAGATGAAGGGTTAGAAGGTATGATAATGAAGTTTGCAGATGACACCAAATTGGGAGGGATAGCCAATACTCCAGAAGATGGGAGTAGAATTCAGAACGATCTTAAAAAATTGGAGAGATGATTGGCCAAAACTAACAAAATGAAGTTCAGTAAGGACAAAGGCAAGATACTTCACTTAGGCAGAAAACATGATATGCAAAAATACAGACCGAGGGATGCCTGGCTCAACAGCAGTGCCTGTGATAGAGATCTTGGAGTCCTCGTACATAGGAAGTTAAACATGAGCCAAAAAGCCAATGGGATTTTGGCCTGCATAAATAAGAGGATAGTGTCTAGATCAGGGGTCCTCAAACTTTTTAAACAGAGGGCCAGGTCACAGTACCTCAAACTGTTGGAAGGTAGGATTATAATTTGGAAAAAAAAAAAGAATTCCTACGCACACTGCACATATCTTATTTGTAGTACAAAAACACTTCAAATAAATACAATAATTAAAATGAAGAACAATTTTAACAAAAATCAACTTATTAGTATTTCAATGGGAAGTGTGGGCCTGCTTTTGGCCGATGAGATAGGGTTGTTGTTGTTGTTGTTGTGTGCTTTCAAGTTATTTCAGACTTAGATTGACCCTGAATGAGGGCTGGGTAAATGACCTTGGAGGGCCATATCCGGCCCCCGGGCCTTAGTTTGAGGACCCCTGGTCTAGATCCAGCGAAGTCATGCTCCCCATGCTCTATTCTGCCTTGGTCAGACCACACCTGGAATCACACTGTGTCCAATTCTGGGTACTACAATTGAAACGAGATGTTGACAAGCTGGAATGCGTTCAGAGGAGGGTGACTAAAATGATCAAGGGTCTGGAGAACAAGCCCTATGAGGAGCAGCTTAAAGAGCTGGGTATGTTTAGCCTGCAGAAGAGAAGGCTGAAAGGAGACATAATGAGGGCCATGTATAAATATGTGAGGGGAAGTCATAGGGAGGAGAGAGCAGGCTTCCTTTCTGCTTCCCTGGAGACTAGGACGAGGAACAATGGCTTCAAACTACAGGAAAGGAGATTCCACCTGAACATTACGAAGAACTTCCCAACTGTGAAAGCTATTCAGAAGTGGAACTCTCTGCCCTGGACTGTGGTGGAGGCTCCTTCTTTGGAGGCTGTTAAACAGAGGTTGGATGGCCATCTGTTGGGGGTGCCTTGAATGCAATTTTCCTGCTTCTTTGCAAAATGGGGTTGTTTGGGGCTGAATGGCCATCTGTTGGGAGTGCTTTGAATGTGATTTTCCTGCTTCTTGACAGGGGGTTGGACTGGATGGCCCATGAGGTCTCTTCCAACTCTATGATCCTATGATTCTAACCTTGAATGATAACTTTCCAGTAAAAACATGTTTTGTTTTAACTTTCCAGGTTCAAGCTGAAATTTGCCGGAAATGGCATGGCAACCGGCGTGGGCTGAAGACTGTTTGGAGGAAGAAGACAAGATGGACAATCCCATCAAGTTCTGGGATCAAAATGACGGCCTCTGTGTGCTAACCCATAAGGATGAAGAAAGGGTGAACTGGCAAGCATAGAGTGCCAGAAAAAAGCATATATTTTGCTCATTTTTATCATTGAATTTAGGACTGTTTGAAGCAACCATCTTCAACTTTTAAAGGTGCAACACTCATAGGACACATGTTTCTCAAATATCCTTCATGTAATTTCAGCCATTGTTTTCCCCACTTAGAATTAGCTAATTTTCTTGCTAGTACTGTTCCTTAAGAATGTTTTTCATTTGTCTTCTTAAAAAAAACACACACACACAAAAAGGAATACAGGTTGAGCATCTCTCATCCGGAATCCCAAAATCCAAGGCTCTGAAATGGTCCACATGGACATTGATTCCTTTCTTTTGGAGGGTTCAATCTATACAAATTTCGTTTCACGCACAAAGTTATTAAAAATATTGTATGAAATTTGATCTGTTAACTCCTGTATGTTATCTATTTAACAGATGCAGGTCCATGGACCATAATAAAGGTTGTCGTTGTCGTTGTTATTGTATGAAATTACATTGCAGCTATGTGTATAAAGCAGTGTTTCTCAACCTTCCTAATGCCACGATCCTTTAATAGAGTTTTTCATGTTGTGGTGACCCCCAACCATAATATTATTTTCATTGCTACTTCATAACTGTAATTTTGCTACTGGTTTGAATTGTAATGTAAATATCTGATGTGCATGATATATTTTCATTCACTGGACCAAATTTGGCACAAATACGCAATTTGCCCAAATTTGAATACTGATGAGGTGGGGAGAGATTGATTTTGTCATGTGGAAGTTGTAGTTGCTGGGATTTATAGTTGACCTACCATTAAAGAGCATTCTGAACTCCACCAACAATGGAATTGAACCAAACTTGGCACACAGAACTCCCACAACCAACAGAAAATATTTGAAGGTTTTGGTGAGCATTGACTTTGAGCTTTGGAGTTGTAGTTCACCCACATCCAGAGAGCACTGTGGACACAAAACAATGATGGATCTGGACAAAACTTGGCACAGATACTCAAGATGCCCAGATGTGAACACTTGTGGAGTTTGGGGAAAATAAAGCATGACATTTGGGAGTTGTAGTTGCTGGGATTTATAGTTCACCTACAATCAAAGCGCATTCTGAACTCCTCCAACGATAGCATTGAACCAAATTTGGCACACAGAATTCCCATGACCAACAGAAAATACTGCAAGACTTAGGTAGGCATTGACCTTGAGTTTTGGAGTTGTAGCTCACCTACATCCAGAGAGCACTGTGGACTCAAACAATGATGGATCTGGACCAAACTTGCCACAGATACTTAATGTGCCCAAATATGAACACTGGTTGAGTTTGGGGAAAATAGAGCTTGACATTTGGGAGTTGTAGTTGCTGGGATTTATAGTTCACCAACAATCAAAGGGCCCCTTGAACCCCAACAAGGATAGAATTGGGCCAAACTTCCCACACAAAACCCCCATGACCAATAAAAATACTGTGTTTTCTGATGGTCTTTGGCGACCCCTCTGACACCCCCCTCGTGACCCCCTCAGGGGTCCCAACCCCCAGGTTGAGAAACACTGGTATAAGATGTGCATGAAACATCAATTAACTTTGTGTTCGGATTTGGGTCCCATCTCTAAAATATCTCTTTATGTATGTGCAAATATAGGTGAAATCCAAACTCCGAAATACTTCTGGTCCAAAGCATTGTGGTTAATGGATAATCATTTCTTTCTTTCAGTTGCTTCATGCATTATGCTTAATGGGGAAGGAAACATAGCTCATTTGCATGAATGTGATTATGGTATTATGTTCAGATTTAGGAGGAGCAAGTGATGGAAGAAGGAAAATAAATCCTTACTGAGAGGTAGTTGACCAGGGGTTAATCTACACATTTGAATTAATGCAGTTTGATACTACTTTAACTGCCATGGCTCAATGCTAGGGAGATGTATTTCAGTGAGACTGTCAAACTCCAATTCCCATGATTCCATGTTTTGGAGTCATGGCATTCAAAGTGGTTTCAAACTGCATTAACCTAAAAGGCTGTCTGGATCCGCCCATAGACTCATAGAGACCTCGTAGACCATCCAGTCCAACCCTCTGCCAAGAAGCAGAAAAATTGCATTCAAAGTACCCTCAACAGATGGCCATCCAGCCTCTGTTTCAAAGTCTCCAAAGAAAGAGCCTCCACCATACTCCAGGGCAGAGAGTTCCACTGCTGAACAGCTCTCACAGTTAGGAAGTTCTTCCTAACAATCAGGTGGAATCTCCTTTCCTATAGTTTGAAGCCATTGTTCCGTGTCCTAGTCTCCATGTCACATGTCCATCAGAAGTGTATTTCACACATGGATTAAATGCTCAGGCATTTCTATCTAATATTATGACCCATATTTATCTAGAATTCAATTTTTGCTGTTCCCACCACCCTGCACTTCCAGTAAGTCTTGTGTGGAGGACCTAGAGATTCCTAGTGAGGCATTATCTAGAAACCTCTTGGTCCTCCAGTGCAACCTTTCTGGTGGAAGACTCCTTCCTTTACTACAGAAGGAGAGGCAATCATTAATGATCCTTAGGAGGGCATTAGAGGTTAATGCACACTGGATTTTTATCACCAAAACAAAGTGAATGCATATTTAATGGGTGGAAAGCCTTATATTCATCACATGCAGCCACATTGTCTGGGGCCTTCTATAATGTCGGCAAATGAAGAGCATGAATTAATTCAAAGGCCTTGTCAGATTAAAACCTCAAGGCAATTAATGGTGTTCTAAAACCTGGCAAAAAAATGGTCCTACTTCAGTTTGATCCCTTTCCCTCCGGACTGAGAGCCTGACATCATCGGAGCCATGAAGGAAACAATCTGAGTTTGGAAACGTGTCTCCGGAGGGCTTGGAAGAGTGTCAGCTTTAAAATGCAACACAGTTTGATTTGTATGTTGGAATGAGCATGGTTTTGCACCTCAGATCTCAAACGACAGACAGTGTAGTTTCTACTCTACTAAAAGAAAAAGAAATGCTCAATTTTGCAGTGCACTGAAAAGAGAGTGGATGGATTTGGCTGAATTTCACTTTAGCTGGGACCTGATTGATAGCCTTCATGCATTAGCCATGCGACCCAATTGTGTTAGGAGGATTTCTCGCAAGTAAAAGTGCATCTGCACTGTAGAATGAATGCAATCTGATACCTCTTTGACTGCATCCAATACTATGGGCTCCTGGGAGTTGGAGTTTGGTAAGGCACCAACACTCTTTGGCACAAAGGCTTTTCTTGACAAACATCTCAAGAAAAAGATATGGCAGAATCCTGCAAAACAAACTTCTGAAGACACTGTATATGTATAAGAAACCTTCACATTAGATTTTGATGGTGCCTGTGCTGGCACGGCTGTGCCAGGAGATTTGCTTCCTTTTCTTGCACTGTTAGTTTGTTTGAATTCATTTGGGCCATGCATTTTGCAGTTGGGTAGCTTTCCCCAGGTTGCAGTCATAGGGCCAACAACCTTTCAATCATTGTTAGAGCCTTTAGATCCACCCCTTTCCCCAGGTTTGGAGGGAAAGGGGGACTTTTAGTTCAGTCTCACAGTTTGGAGCCTTACAGCAGGACGTGTGGGCTTTTCTCTGTCCCACCTGCAAAAAGCTTCACTTCTTACAGCTTTTGCTGGGGAAAAAGGAAAACCTCTACAGCTTTGCTGGGGAAATACAGCCAGCTTTTGCTGGAAAATAAAGGAATGGATCCATGGTCTTCATGGGGCAAATCTACAGGACACCAGCTTGGCAGATCTACAGCAACCATTGCCTGGTAAGGGACCACTCGGGCTATACATAATGCAGCTTGGACCCAGGAGTTGGGGCCTCACGCCAACAGGGTAAAAAAAGATTGCCCAATGAGAGGTCAGAAGGTTTCCCTAAAGAAGATAGGAACAGTTTATCAAGCAGTTGCCTGTCCCTTGTTGGCAGATCGAGAAAGTTACTAGTTTTTCAAGATTATAAAGCATTTAATTCGTTTGTTCGAAGATTTAAGCCTTAATAAAGAACTTTGTCGAACCTATTTTGAGCCTCTACAGAACTTTGTGTTGGGAAACCTATGAGACCCTTTATCTGAGGCACCCCGGCGTCCTGTTGGGCATACAGAAAGCACGTCCTGTAAGCAGACATTGTCATAGGCCCAGTGCACGACAGCACAGTGTCTAGACAGAAAATCATATCAAATCCGATCCAATGTAGAATTTCATAAAGCAACAGGATACTCTGTAGTTTCCAAAGTGGGGAAAAGGTAGTGGATTTTTGGCTGGATTTTACATGGTCAGTGAGGAACCATATAATGAAGTTTAGTTGCATTGAACTGCATTATTTGGGTCTACACAACAGTTCAAACTGCATTATATGGCATTGTAGATCCAGCCTTTGTTTGGATGTGGAGAAAAAACATATCTCCATGTTTTCCTAGCAAAATATCTGTAATTAGCCCCAGGCTTTCAAATTAGATGACAATTTCCATCCCACAACTCATTCTTTCTCTCTGTCCATGACCCAGGATCAAGATTTCAAGGATGGCTGATTTGGAGTTAATAATAACTCTGGATTAAAAGCATTAAACTCTTGGGAGTAATTGCCTGGCAAGGTCACTTTGGAGTGCCTCATAATAACAACCTGGCATAGATGAGGATGGACTTGGGTCAGGTCCTTCATTCAGAAAAATAATGGCAGCTCTTTGATCAAGAGGAAACATGGACGTCAGACCTCATCTGGTTGGCAGTCCTCAGAAGCATCTCTGATCATTTACATGAAATGCAATTCCATCAGCTCAATCTTCCCTGGGTGCATTTTCTACACTGCAGAATGAAAGCAGTTTGACATTACTTTAATTGTTATGAGTCCATGCGATGAAATCCTTGGAGGTGTAGTTTGTTGAGGTGCCAGCCCTTCAATGGAGAAGGTGAAAGACCTGCAAAACTACAACTTCCCATGATCCCCCAACATTGAACCATGGCAGTTAAAACGGTATCAAAACTCCATTGTTTCTACAGTGTAGATGCACCCCAAGAAAAGTGAGAGGAGAAAGGTCTCAATTCTTTTTCAAATGCATATCATCACTACAAAGACCCTTATATATTTCATGAATTGTGTTCGTTGGACATTATGAAATAACCCGGCTATGTACATTCTGTTTACTCTAACCTGATTCCATTATGGAAGATGTAACCTGTTCTTCTTACCATAGATTCAAGAAGCAAGCACCTGAATGTTTGGTTTTAAAGATGAGTTGTTATTACAAGGCTTGGTCACGAGGTGGCAGGCAGAAGCTAGAAGTTACAGGAAATACTGATTTTTTTAAAAAAAATTGGCTATGAAGCTGTCACTTGTTTGTGTCTTGTTTGTTAACACCTTGATGCAGCTTGAACTTGCAAAAACAAACAGAATGAACTGACTTCACTGATTATTCTGCAAAATGGATGGTGATCAAATGTGAATCCCAGTGACCATGTGAACCATGGTACAGTCTGTTTGGGTGCATTTACATTGCAGC